AGAGAGAGAGAGAGAGAGAATTAAATGAATAAAACTAAATCGTTCTGTAGAAAACTTATTTAACAAATTAGAATAAAAGGAAGTGAATATACAGTGGCATAACAGTTGATTTAAGTGCTGAATAGCAATTAATAGTTATTTTACCAATACTGTAAAAGTATAATCTTAACGCGGAAAACATGTTTACGCGCCCAACCGATGCCGACGGACGTCATATAGTGGTCACAACAATGAGGAGACATGTATTCCTATCACAGGACATACGAATGACCACAACCAACGCAGTTATGAGCAAATCTCCGGTCGCAGCAATAGAGATGAATGCATTGAAAACTGGCTTTACATCAGTTATGCCATTAACCAAAATTGTAATTTTATAAATTATAATCCCTATACTTGCGTCAAATGACCCACTCGTATATCACTGCCGTCGAGATCAAATGGGCCGCATAAACATATTTTCCATTTTTATTTTAATTTATTTTATAATGCCATATGTACTCAAATATTATATACCATATACCGAGTACCACACAGGATGTACTCAAATATGCTATCTAAAGTGCTATTTGTTGAATTATGATGATTTTAATATAACAATCTAAAAGTCAATTATAAATTTGTAAATTGTATTGTTTTAATAAAATTTCAGAGAAAGTCATATTTTTATTTTGTATTCAAAACTAATCCTTAGGAAAAAAATTATGGATGTTAAAATAAATATCCATCATTAACAGAATATTCTACAGAATATACAACGGTATATAAAATGTATATAAAACGGTAACATAATAAGTATATTTTAATCACATTTGTAAAATAATAATGGATATAATTGTAAAAGTAACTAACAAATAATGACAGCATTTTAAACACTACACAACACCAAAATTACTTACTCTTTTGGCGACACATTCGTCGGTCAATTTTGGACAAAGACTTGAATGGATATAACATATTATCGCACATTTGTCTTCTAACTGCAAATATGAACACGATATATGTATTCAATTCATATTTACAATTATTGTATTTATTTAAACATCATTTATAATTCAAACACAATTAACACTTATTTTACTCATTTTAATTACTCACTCTATTAGATCTGTTGCAATAATAAATATGTAAATACCATGAACCAATGTAAAAATTCTATGATAGTTTCTTGGCATATTGCACAGTACAGTATTGTATGTGTATATAATAAACAAGCATAATTAATTTAGAAATTTGGTTTTTATCTTAAAAAAATGTCTATTTAAAACATGATTCTACAAAATAAGTTTTTTAATTATAAAATTAAAGATTATATTGTAACTTGAGATAATATAGGTGTTTAGAAAAAATTATACTTTGTAAACAAACTAATTAGTCTGTCTGCCAAATTGTTATTTGCAATCATATTTAGTATTGTACAGCATATAAGTACTATTGCTGTAAGTAAAATAGTCTTTCAGACATTGACACAAAAATATAAATTTCAGATTAAGTATAAGATAATACATGGTATTTATAATCGCAATGAGAAAACAACTTTATTCATAAATTTCTTAATATATAAAATTATTATAGTTTATAAGTAGTAAGCAATTTTATAAGTAAACAATATGAAATAATGTTTTAACTATACATTGTACTTTCAAATCAAATCAAAACAAATTTTATAAAAAAAAATCTATCAATTAAAGTTGGTTTTATAAAAATATATACTTTATAGAATCTATAATATAGATGCTTTTACTATTATATTATATTTGTTTTCTATTTATAGAAAGTGTTAATTATGTTAAAATGTCATATTTAATAATTAAAATATATGCTGTATTATATTATTAAATATTAAAAGTTATATACTGTATATAAAAAAGGCCATACATTAAGGTGAAAATGTTTAATTATAATTAGTATAATAATTTGCACAATAACAGAATAACATATGAATAAGTGTTGTCATACCTGCTCTGAAGTAAGGTCTGCATAACTCATAGACCATATTGACCATATTTCTTCGACAGACCTGTTGCTGATATAACGATGAAATAATGGTATTGTCGATCAGATCTGAGTCCATTGTGAGCTCTAGATTCAGACTCTTGTCATTTGGGTTATTACCGCTAATTTTATTAGGATTCTCGTCATTAAGACGAACATTATTGTTGAGAGTGTTATCACAACTTATGATTGGCAACAGTAGGAACGCCAGCACCAAATATGGATAACAGGCTCTCATGATTGCCATCGTTGTGGACATTAGTATTGAATTAATTTATGTAAATATAATTTTACAAAATAGTTTAAATTAAGAATATTAATAAATAATTATAACAAGAATAATTAATTTAATTTTTATATAAAATTATATTAGCGATTGGATAGTAATAATGTAATACAAAAGTTATTGTTAATAAACTTCAGTCTTAAGCAGTGGTTAATTGTCTGAAATCTGTTGAAACAAATCGTATGGATTTATATGCAGTTTAAGGGATGCTTTCACTCAAACTCACAAACAGTTGTGTAGCCGTAAAAACTATTGCAAACTTTTGCTCTCATTGCTCTCACTCTCATGCTCGATAGTTTTGAGGATTACTTTTAGTGTCATATAGACTGTCGTCGTCTCACTTACATGTGCTGTAAATATGAGTGCTTTACAGGAGAGAGAGAGAGAGAGAGA